AATGACAGAGAGGGACAAACAACAGAGGTGAAAAACAAGACGGCAGGCGAAAAACCTTTTAAAATGCGTGTTTTCTGAATGGAGATCGGATCGATCAGGTGCGCAGGTCATTTTAAATACTCAGTAACTTATAACTCCAGCCCAAATTAACCAATAGTATCTAAGTGACAACCCAACCACATTTCTTACCCCTACATATCCATTAATAAAACCAACATACTCTAAAAAAGGCATTGCTTTCACATAGCGGTGAACAAACCTCTTACGACAGAGATAATTGCTTTAAGTAGAAAAGTTGTTGCAAGCCCCTTTCTGACAGAAATAAGTACAGCTTCACAGAGGAAAAAAGTGACTGCACCAAGGTATTCATCTCTTAGTTTATAGGAGAAAAGACTACCTGGTGAGACCGCTCCTTGACAGCATGGGGGCATTTTCTTAGCCGCTTATTTCCCAATTTTTTGAAGATCTTGTTTTTCACCTCTGTTGTTTGTCCCTCTCCGTCATTCCCTTGCTGGCTGCTGTTATATTCGTGTGTGTCTTCATTCTAGCCGTGGTTCTCCTTCACTTTTCTCAATTTAGTTTGCACTAACTCGCCTCTAAATCCTCCTACTGTGTTTTAATCTTTCCTCACAGTGGATCAATACTTAGACACTGGCATGCAGATTACATTATGGATCTTCTGGCCGATCAATGGCCGCTCGGCATTAAAGGAAAACTGGCCCTGCTCCTTGGCCCGTCATGGCCCATTCCGGCCTTAATTAGATGACTTTTATGGTCGGCTAATGGGAGAAGCGCTATACTGTGGAAGAAAGAGGGGGAGGGCGACAGCAAAGTGATGCCTCACAGGTGGAGAACGAGAACGATACACTCCCAAAATCCATTTCTCCTTTGACACGAGGGATGACTGCTGGATTGCTTAACATTCCAGGTGGATACACAACAACTTGAGGGGGATGTCCCTTCCTTAGCATCGCAAGAATTGATCAATAATCTACCCATTGGAAGTCTTTCATTTGGATTAAAAGGCAGGTGTTAATGAAAGTTGGAAATAGGAGGAACGGGTGGAGTGTTAGGAAGTAGCCGGGCCATCATTGCATCATCAAAAGGTAAATGGAGTTAATGGCAGCTGAACAAGCACTGCAGTGCCAAACCAAGGCTGTTTTATGACTTAAAAAAGGGAGCCAAAGTAGCAGTGAGAACGACACTAACAAAGTAACAGATATGAATAGTGCAACAAAAGGATAACAAGTAAACAAACATATGCCGAGGCATGTGGTGGGCAGCAGAGTGTGGGAGTGATTCAATCTATCCCGATCTGCTTATAAACAGACTCTCAAGCATAAAAGCGTTATCAAGCAATGAAAGAATCTCCAAAATACAACTAAAATGAGACATAAAAGAGGGAAAGAAAAGGAAAATGGCAAATATATTCTGTCAGAGACAACATGGACAAGTGAATAGACTTGTTTAGAGTGTAAATGAAGCAGCTGCAAACAGGTCAAAGTCTTTATCAGTTTCCCAATCGATGAACTGGCTCTCATCTCCAGATTCTGGCTGTCACTCAAATTCACGCAGCTTTACACTCGTGGAAAGTGTGCATTAGTGTGAATAGCAAGTACATTTCTAGAAGGCATTTTGGCTCTGGCTGCTTTGTCACTCAATTGAGCTCCGCAGGACATAAACCCATAGAGGCGTTTTGCCGCAAGCTGATCTAAGCCACTTTACTGCGCTGCTCGTTAGTTTTACAGCTTTAAGGGGCGACTGATGAGGTCGCTGTACCATAATATGAACTATCAAGGCTCACTTCCAACAACAGCTAACAAAGTTGAGTCCATTAAACACTGCGGACCGGACTTTGAGCAGGACATAAATGTATATGCACTTCAAGTCCCAAATGGAAAGGAAATGCAGAAAACAAAACCGAGCCAAAACGAGAGTGAATATTGGGACTTGAATTAGGGTTGGGCGAATTAAGGAATATATCGAACATTGCTTGAGTACTTGGGGCCATTTTTATTTGGCAAATGTATTATTATGCCACTAAAAAGCAAGTTAGAGAAGGCACATCACTACAAACAATCTTTGAAAGGTACACACAAACGTTACAGTACCTAAAAACACCTTTAAGTGTGACTGCCGTGTAATAGTATTAATTAATTCTGCAAATTCTGACTTGCTAATTAACTTCCTGCTATCACAATACACTCACAAGCTCACTAAATAAGGAGGTATGGAACGAGAGAGAATGCAAAAGAAGAAAGAGAAATTGATGGCAGGAGGAGAAGACAGACAGCAAGACAGCGTGTTCGAGTATCTCTCACACTTCCTACCCCTACACAAAAGAAGCCGAATAAGGCGAACCTCATGAAAGAGCCGAAACTCTCTGTGCGTCAGAAAACCAAGAACCCCTAACGACGACAAGACGGCGCATCAACCCGTCATGTTAGATGCCAGCCGGGCACGTTTGAAGGTTTGTTGGCTGGGTGTGTGTTATTCAAGGCTCATCATCTCATGGAGATGCAGGGGAACAAAGCACCGGGATGATGCCTTGAAGATCTGACAAGAGCCTGACTCACCCGAAGAGCAAGGCAGAGAAACAAATGCAGAGAGAGATAGGGATAGAGAAAGATAGTAGAAGACGGATGTGATAATAAAGGAAATGAGAGGGAAAAGTGAAGGACAAGAGAGGTTGATGAAGGACAAACAAACCTCCCGAATCTTAATGGAGGTCGTAATGTTCATTTAGAGGTGTCGATTCAACTTCATTGTCATTCTGGAGGCTGTGCTGTAGTTGCATTGTATTGCGTTATACCTAAAGAACCAAAGAAGAAGTACTACAAAAAGTTGTGCTTTAAAACAAACACTCATTAGCTCTAGGCTGCGTGCCAAAATCAGTGGGAAGAGACTCAGGAGTCAGACTCTTACGTGCTTCCCTATACTTTACTTGTGGATCCTAATTGTGTCTCCCAGTGACCACACTCTGTCTGCAGTGAGCAAGGTGGTCCGCAGAGCATTGCGGTATCCACTTAGCAGCTCTATTCTGAATGGCTTCAAGGAGAGCTCGATGGGCCGAAACATAACTAAACAAATCAGGGTGTATATGTATAGAAAATCCTGGTCAAGGAGGAAGCGTGCCGAAACGCACACATCCAGTGGAGCTGGAGTGGCTCCAACCACTTAAAAACATGTCACAACAGCGTGGGGTCAATTCCCTTCGCTTACCGTTTGTACACTTTCCCTCAGATTTATCCACAGAACTCATAAAGAAAAGGAGTGAGTCGCAAAATTGCTTCTTAAAAACGCGCTGATTGTTTTCTCTTTTCTGAAAAACTCCCAGTTGGTGATGGAAATGGCATCAGGACCTGTTCTATAGGTGAAACAAAACAACTGTTGCAATGACGGAGAAAAAAGGGACCTATAACATTAAATGGATTCGTTCATAAACATCTTGAACATGCATTCAAAGAATTCACCATTTTTGATTGTCTTTTATAAAAGAATGTATTTCAAGGTGCCATATTAGAACAGCAACTCCATTGGAGTTCTTGAAAGTAAATTGAAGACCTATCGTTTTAATGTGGCTTTTAATTTGGGGTAATTTTTGTTGTACATCTGTTCATGATGTATTATTTATTTGTATATTGTTAAACTCTTTCCGTTTGTTTACAACTTATTTATAATTATGTTCCTCCATGTTTATTTTGTAAAGCACGTTGAGCTGAATCTTGCATGAAAGATGCTATATAAACAAAGCTTATTGTTATCATATTCAAATCCAGCCATATGCCTTAATTCAATGGATCCTAATTAGTTTCTTTTAGTGCATATTTTTTTGTGCATATCTAATAAAAGGAAGAATGTTTTTATTGTTTATACCATGGTTACAGTTGTAATACCCCAAAATCGTATTAAAATCTTCCATAGAAAGAGGATTTTCCATTAGTTTGTGCGTGCTTTGCATTTGGAAGATTATGTGTATCCTGTCAAAATAATTAAGTGTGAGATTGTAAGTGTTGCACAACATAAATGCACACAGCAGGAGGGCTCTGGAGAGGAGAGCGTACAGGTCGTGTTCTTAGCCTGTTAAGCCCCGAGCCTGTTTTTCAGGTTTCAGGCTCGAAAATGACATGCCCAAAACAAATGACTACAACTTAACTTCTAAAAGGGTTATATGAATAATTTATTTTATCAAAGCAAGGTTACATCTGTGAGTTGGATGTAGAAGTGTCAGAATCAATATAGATTTTTCTCAGTCAGAGTAAATTCAGATGGAACATAGCAAAAAAAGGTAAATTCTTACCTCCGCTTAAAGAAAAAACATTACTTATATTGAAAACCACCCTTGAATGATGGGATGGTAGACTAAAAGCTTTAGGAATCCAAAGTATAACATATAATAAGTACCCTGTATCAAGATTGAGGCAAAACAAGTGAAATTTGACCTTTTTAGAGAGGTTTAGCAAAAAAAAGGTCCAGGCAGAATAAGCTTTGGGCACATTTGGGTACATCTGGTTCCATCAGTGCCATTTGACCTTTTTCAGGTACCAGACTATAAAAATGGTGTATTACATTGAATTATCACCATAGGTATTCATTCCATCCAAAGAAAAAAAAAAAAAGGACCCGCCGACGGGGTCTTTGGGGCTTAACAGGTTAAACAAACACACACAGCAAACACCAAACGAAGATGCTTAGAGAAGTCACAAGCACATTGAAACTGATACTCAAATGTCTAAATGAAAGAAGAGCAGATAGATGGAAGAGAAGAGTGATTTAGATTGAGATTTTAGAGATTGTCTCGGGGGTCCCAGGGTTGATTCCCTGTGACCTGAGTTGATGAACCGTGAGTCTTGCCAGCTACGAAATGTCCATCCTGCACTGAGGAGAGCAGCCAAAGGGAGGAGGACTGATCCTCACATCAATGGCATATCAAACCAAAGATTAGGGAGTTTTGAAGTGAAAAGGAAAAGGGGTGAGAGGGGGGGAGAGATGGCACTTACCGATGTACTCAAACACGTAGACGACGAAGAACGGCGTGACCAGGTCGTTGATGCCTTGCACGTAGCCGCTGGCTGGATGGCGGATGGCCCAGATGAAAAGTATCCGCTCAAAAATCTTAACACACAGAGAGATTGTGTCAATACAGCTTGTAGAAAAAAACGTTTTAGAAACTAATGCACAAAGGTAATCAATTCTAAATGATATGCCACAGAGAAGCAAGTGGATAACCAAGCTTCAAGCTCATCAGGAAAGGTTTAATCTACATATTAACCCTCTGTCTGTTTGTCAGGATTTATATTGGTGAACTCATTTATGGATTAATAGTATTTCTTACAAATCTTTAATCCATGTTCCCTGACACCATCAATTGTTTTTCCTGTAGCGCAGATATTGGCTATCAAACATTGGATGAATAGAACATTTAACATTGTGAGGCGGGTGTGAGAAGACAGTAGTAGAAATCAGAATCACTTGAATCATGCCAAGCTTGTGAAGTGGAAAGCAGCTGATTAAGCACAACCACGTGGCTTTTGGAGTGAAACAATACCGATGTGGATATTGATTTGTATTAATGTGATTTTTGTATAACCATTATTATTGCATATTAGTTCCTCTCTTACATATAATATAAGGGGTATATGTATCTATTTCAAACAATACAATTAAACAGGTTGCCATGTTAGTGTTCAATTACAAGGTAGCCTTATGTAGCATATGCTGCCTTATTATCTATTTTTACTCGAAATGGGAGCATGATTATATAAAATGAACATTTTGCTGTATTGATGACATTTTAAAACTAGCAATTGAGACCGTAAACTCATTTGGAAACGTTTACTGAGGTAATAAATCAAGTGAGAAGTTGGGTAATTTTCTCATTGACTTCTGTACAGTCCGTTTCCCCTGCTGGCCATTAGAGAGAATGCAGGTTTAATGCACTTACAGTAAGCATAACGTCTCAGTCCTGGAGGTCTGCCCTTAGATACACTGTTTATTTGCCTCTCACTTTCAGCACAAATCAACACCTTAATCCTTAACTTTCTGATCTGCATTTGTGTACATAAAAAAAGCTCACTTTGAACTTTATTTTCTGCTTTGGTGTTGGTCTCCTCCCTCCTCTCTTCATTTTTCACTCAGTATCTGTCTCTTTGCTTTTCCCTTCTGACTAAGTCTCCTCCTCACTCTCTTTCTCTGCCTGATTTCAATATTTTTGTGCAAGGCAAACACTTCCATCTTCGTTATGTGCGGCTGCTTAATGCTGTCAGCCCCAGTGAATTACAAGAGGCATGATGTTCAGCTTGTTTTTCTGGTGCTCAAATGGATCTCCCCCACCCACCCCCCCCCCCCAAATACACACTCACTCTCACACACCTTGCTGTACCACACCCATCAAGCACTTTCTTATCTTTTGGGAATATGTCATGTTTCTGTCACTTTCTAAATAACCTCATAGCTCATTGTTTTAGGAGTTTAAGGAGCGAGAGAAAACATAGCCATGTGTTTTTCTTCTCATTTCTATTTAGAGTAGTTCGATCAATGTTAAGATAGCGGGAGAGATTGGTAAAGCGCAACGCTCTCTAGCTTTTCCAGACACCTTCTCCTTAAATCTCCCTCGCCTGCCTCCACAGCTCACCCCTTCTGTTTTCCTTATCAAAGTCCCATCTGTCAAGCAGGGAGAGGTACGGCTGATGCAGGGGGAGCGGGTAATAGGACTTTCTTTTTCTGCAACCTCAAAAGCTGACGTGCATATTTCACATTGGCACCTACACACTTTGAGAGAACCCCTGCATACACACACCATACCCACTGATGTGAAAGACAATACAAAGAACCAACCAAACTGGAAGAAAGAAATCCCGGTTTACACAGAGTTCCCTCGCTCCTCAACAGACTTATTATTAGAAATTATGTTAATCTCACATTAATTTGATATTCTTGTCATAACGCAGTGCATCTCTAGGACAGGAAATCAGCTTTCCTGTGACCCCTGTGTCACAACGCTATGGCTCCATTAAATTAGTGCCAGACCCCAAGGACCCTGATAAGGGAACTCTCTAGAGGTGGAGAGGAAATTGACACAACAAAAATGGTGTCAAGTAAAAGGACTTTTCACTGCCATCTGACATACAGTTGAAAATAACACTTAGAGAAGGCTTAATGATGATCCTATTGTCAAAAGATCCTGGTCTAAACCACTCAAATATCACCAATAAACAGACTAAATTCAAAATGTGCATCCCTTTTAAGTTGTTCATTGACGAAAAGCATCTGAGATGAAATGATATTACTTAATATGGGAGACACGGATAAATCCTGCTCTAATCACAATTTGAAGGCGAAATGGAATGTTTTCTTTTCACGTTGGGAACTTGTAATTGCCGATTATCAACATCTTGCAAAGACTGCATTGTTCTGCAGAACAAGAAAAACTCAAACACTTAGATAACACTTAGGAAATCACTTCACTATCCCTCTCTCCCCGAAATGGAACAGACTGTCGACTGCCTTCCATCTCGACTAAATCTCTCCAAACCCCACGGGGGGTGGGGGGTGGTGGGGAGGGAGCGCAGACAAACAAGTGAAATGAAATGAAGCGGAGGTGATTTTCAGGTGGCACCGCAGCAAGCATAACCATATAAAAGAAGAGGGGGCCTTTGGAGTTTGTTGCATACCAAATTATATGAGGCGCACGCTGCTGGAATATATCGCTTTTATTTTGTTGAGTCGGTGTGTGGGGGTGAGAGGGAGAAAGAAGTTCAGGATGAGTGGAAAAGGAGGTCAATGTAGAGGACATGTACAGTTGTAAAACATATACAGCCCCCTTGTCTGATATTTTTCCCCCGCTTATGTTGTATCCCGTTGAAGACGGGTTAGCGAAAGACTGCCTGAGGCACCGTGTGCGAGTTTGTACATGATAAATGCCACCTCATTGCACCTTTTTTCAACATCTGCAGACATGATGTGTATGACAGGACCTGCCAAAAACACTGTAATAATAATATAAAAGTTCCCTTATATAAGAAAAAGGTGGGAATTAAGTTACTATACAAAGGCTAGTGTTTTTTCTCCCACACACTCCTCCCCCCCCCCTGCGTGAAACGCCTTTAATGGACTCCTTTCTTTACTTCCGTAACATAATGACATCACTATGTAACACTCGCGATTCTATTAGGTTGCGCTCCCACACATTGTATGTGAGCGGGACATCTCTAAGTTGACCAATCGCAACAGAGCCGACCAGCTGACCAATCAGAGCAGACTGGGCTCTGGTTTCAGACAGAGGGTGAAAAGAGGTGCTGCAGCACAGGCAGTATGAGAAAAATAAAGAGCTTTTAAAACATTAAAACATGTAGACATGTCACAGTAGAGGCACAAAATACTAATATGAACCTGAAAAGGAGCATAATATTAGCCGAGCCAACTTCTCAAATAATAAAGTTACTTGCACCACATTTACATATTTACGTAACTCTTTTCCAAAGCAGCCTCATTGATTTAAAAGTTATGGATGGTGCGCATTACCGTTTGTTTTCCTAATTTGCCCTAACCTCCGATGGTAGTTATTGTTTTATGCGGGTTTAAGATAATTAGTTCTTATATGCACTAAAATACCAAGAAATGCTTTGTTCAGCACTAACAAAGCAGAACAAAGACGTAGGAGCTAACCGTGCCGGGTGTGTGTGTGTATGTGATCACATGCTTGACTGTGAGGATGATGTAATTCTTCTATATTTATCTTTGCTACTGTGTCGGAACATGCTTTGTGCTGAAGCGAGGGTTTTCCCACATCAAACTCCTAGGCAGACACTTTCTTTGATGTTTCATTTTCACACCTTTTTCAATTGATTACAATTACTTCTTTTCGCTAATTATCCACAAAACATCATTGCTAATGATGATGCTACCGCTCATATCTGCCCAAAAGCAGGCTAGGAAAACCCTGCTAGGTGAGGTGGTGTGTGCAGGGTAAGGGTGGGAGGGGGGGGGGGTTGTCTCACCTCTTGGACAGAAGCTTGTTGAAAGAGAGGAATAAGGGGATTAGTTCTCGGTATGTCAATGTGAATCTGCAGAGAGAGAAAGAGAGAAAAAACAAACTGAAGCAACGGGCAAGTTAGCACAGACATGGGCATCACAGATAGTGACAGAGAGAGAGCAACAGTTAGGGGATTGTATCCTTGATTGAAGGCAGGCTGGGTGGGGGGGCGTTCGGTGGTCTGAAATGGATGGTGGTTTTGTGTGTGCATATGTTGGGATGCCTCTATGTGGTGGAGAGTATGTTTTCTTTAGCGTTGGACCACGTTTACACCATTTCAGAGTGCCCCCCCCCCTGCAGATACACAATGTGACAGGCACAGATTGGTCAGACGGATGCGGGACAGCGGCCGGGGGTTGAGCTGCTCGGTCCGCCTTACCTCGGTCACCTTTGGCTGCAGCACCAAAGACTCAGGACTCATCCTAGGAATGTCTATTTGGATCTGACAGCAACATGGGAGAGAAAGGGGTTAAGACACTCACACACATTAATACTCATGGAAACCAATGTAGAAGTCCCCTTTTGTTTAATATTTCATCGTTCTTTGGCATCTGTAAGATATCCTGAGTAGCTACAGCTTTCATTGTTTTGGAATAACTTGAAAAATATCCCTTTACATTAAATTTAGAAGAGATAAAAAATATGTGCTTCATTCGCGATTAATTGTGAGTTAAAGGTGGGGTAGGTAATTTTGGAGAAACCAGCTCGAGATCGCTAGAATTTGAAAATACACAGCCGGAGAAAATCTGCCACTTCCTTACAGAGCCCCTCCTCCAACACACACGAACGCGCACATGACCAATGAGGGCACGAGATAAGTTTGTGCACAGATGGAAGGCTGACAGGCAGGTAGGCCATACAGTTATTTTAGCTGGGCCGGCTAAAATGATTGGTTGTGCTTTTTACAGTACTACGGCTTCCACAGATGACACTTTTTTATGGATTTTTTGTCAAAGCACTTAAGATATTCATTGCTATCGGGATGTTAAGAGCATTCCATGGAATATAACAAAAAGTGTATCTCGAGCCGGTTTCTCAAACTTACCTACCCCACCTTTAACTATGGAAAATCAGAGTCTTACTGTGCACATGTTTGTACTTTATTTACCCTTTGTGGGGGGTTCACCATAGTCTCTGTAATGTTTACGCTAATTATCCAACTGGGAATCAAACTCAGTGTGCAGCTGCCAGCAGCATTCTGCCAATTGCTTTGATTTCCTGGCCTATATTGTTCAAACTACCCCAAATATAACAGTAGGCAGCTACTGCCAGTTTACAAAATCACACCGGCTAACAGTAGAAAAGCATGAAATGGCTCAAAGATAAAGTAACTGAGTAAAAGACAGTTAAGATAAGCAAATGGGGAGCTAACATACGACAGGTGGCGAGTAAGTAAATGTGAGTGTGTTTAGGGAATATGTCTGCCCCCTAGTGGTGAAACATGTTTGATAAAGTTGAATTAAATCAGTTGTTTCAAACACACAGATATAGCCTAAAAAAAAGAACAAAGCTAGGTTCGCTGAGATTCTCTTGGGATGAAACAAAACCACAGCGGTACTTCAAACAGCTGGGACTTCTACAACGGTTACATCCATATTTATGTGTAAACCCATACACACGAGCCGTTTGGGCAAGCTAAACAAATATACAAAATAAACAGATGGACAGACACGAGAGGAGACACTAATTACTGAGAGACATTGACACTGGATATTGTCTATCCTGTGAGGAAAAACACACAAACACAATACAAATAGCTTCATGTAATGCATACAAGTATATCTACAGTCACAAAAAACTACACAAAACTACAGTCATATGCTATTTTTGTTATGTTTAACTTTAAATCACCGCTCAGTCACCAGCAGTGCTGTTTTTAGTTGGAAGAGGCAGAATTTGGCAGAAATGAGACATCAAGACGAAATTGGACGGAATATGAGAAATGTGTGTTTTTGCTATCAACAGCCCACTTTGATGTTTCTTATCGACCTGGAATGAATGGGAAATAGTGGAGTGTTCAAATGAAAGAGAATGTCGGGGAAGGAGAGGGAAAGAGTGTTCAGAGCCAAAAGAAAAGTGTTCATTTAGAAGCAGCTCTCTCTGAAGCTCGCGGCTGGTTGTCCCTACCCTGTGAACAGAGCTCGACCACACACATGTCAACACAAACAGACACACAACAGTCCAATGAGTACATGAGGGAGAAAGAGGAATTGGTTCCAGTAATCCTGTCTGCAGGGCTGAAATCCTGCCAAAACACACTCTCTCACACACACAAACAGGCAACCATGTTCTGGCATTGAGCAGAGGGAATACATCAGTGACAGGAAGTTGTTATTGTAATTTAAAATGGAACCTCTTGTAGTTTGCTTTCATTGCGTCCATCGAGTTGTAGGATTCAGACAGGTATTAAAAAGTCACATGTAAAAAGAACGATTAAACAGCATCAGTTTGACGTGTCTGTGTGTCTGTGTGTCTGTGTGTGTGTGTGTCTGTGTCTGTCTGTGTCTGTGTGTGTCTGTGTGTGTCTGTGTCTGTGTCTGTGTGTGTCTGTGTGTCTGTGTGTGTGTGTGTGTGTGTGTGTGTGTGTGTGTGTGTGTGTGTGTGTGTGTGTGTGTGTTTACCTGTCTGTACGTGTCCTGATGGTGTTCGTCATTGCGCGAGTCGTAGTATTGCTGAATGAAGCCGAAATATTCTTGTCTCTTTCTCTGTAGGACGCTCTCTCTTCTTTCTGCGTTGGCTGGTAGGTAACCCTAAACAACAGAAGACACAAAGAACTGTAAATGAAAAATGTAGCAAATGGTAAAGATAGCAGTTCACCCAATTATAATTAATACTCATGGGCTCGGGGCTGATGGTAAATGATTAGAAACAAGATGGAGATGTTATTTTTACACCTCACAAAGATATGATGTGTTAATTGGTGAGCTGCAGGAGTGCTGGCAGGTGGATTTTGTTATCTTTGGAAAAAGCCATTTCCCCCCCCATTCACAGTATTTAGGCTAATATAATCGTCTCTTGTTAGATTTAAATGATATAAGCGAAAGTGGTATTGATTTTCCCGTCTAACCGTCAGGAAGAAAACAAGCACAATTCCCAAAATGTAGTATTTCTCATTTACAATATCCTTAAATCTCATTTATTTGAAACTGCAAGGGTCTACCTAAATTTAAGGATAAACTGAAATTGTCTGAGAGACCATTTAGTTTTTCAATATATACTATAAATAAATTGCCGTGGCTGAACTTTGTATGAAACTATGAACATTTCCAAAGAAATTAAATTCCCACTGTTGAACATTTTGGTTAGGATCTGAATGAAAATAGTGCAAAGATAACAGATAAAATGATTCTGTAGGGTAAAATACTTATTCTTGACGCTCAATCAAAGATTTATCTAAATGTAAAAAATATACAATGCAAAGCCAAAAAATAAATTGCTCTAACAAAGAGTGGGATTATATGGAATAATAAAAACATAGTTAGTCATTTGAAATGTCGAAGGGATCCTATTAACTCTTGGCTTGACATTTCATCATACTGTTGTGTCCTTCATGTGTATCTTTTGCCTGTATTAAATAACAAATACTACTACTACTACAGGCGCATACAAACTTTAACAAATAACTCATAATACTAGTCTCCAAACTAATATACCTGTCTGTTTGTGACACGCATGCTCACGGTCACGCTTGTGGCTTCCACATGGGACTCATTCATTCCGCTCCACAGATATTCAGTAAAACCGCCTGCTCACTGTCTCAAAGTGCTTTTCATGTTGTGCGACTCTCCTAATTATTTGTCCTTCACTATTTACTACATAATGAGCCTTTTAGTTCTAAACTCTTGTTTTAAACCTTGACTTGTTTAGAGTCTGTTGGCCAAGTGAAATTACAGAGCCACCTGGGATTACACTAAATGACACACTTCACTTTGTGGGGAAAACCTTCTGCTGCTTGACAAAATGCTTTCCGCCTCTTAGGGGAACTACCTTTTTATGAGTGTGTGTGTGAAAATGCTTCTGGGAATGTGTTAATGCGGGCATACATTTGTGAAAGTGTGTGTCCTCTTTGTGCAGCCGGGCTTATGCAATGAGGAGAAAGTCAACGCTAAACTGAACAACACATTTAAAGTGTATTAAAAGCGAGAGCTGGAGCCAGGGGCTCTGAAATATTCACACACTTAAAGACAGAACTCAAAAATGACTGCTTCTGGCTTTAAAAAAAAACACTCAACGCGAGATAAAAAGCTGGAATTAGTAGTCCTTAAACCTAAAAAGGTCCTTTTTTGTTAACAAATGTTCTATGTTGCCTTTTGTGCATTTGGCTGAGTGAGTTAACACAAGTGCCATTATGGTGATTAAATACAAAGAGGGTTACAATGTAATCATGTTCTACAATAGCCTTACAAACAAATGGTATTTAATGTTGTATTGTGGGATATTTTCCACCCAAACAAAAATCAATAAGTATTCATACAGGTCTGTGAATTACAGATCATAAAGCTGCCACGTCTATTTTGTTAATCAATTTCTTCTTTTAGTTTTTTTTTAGGATTCAGCTTCCATTCCAGCTTCTTAAATAGAAATATTTGTTTCCGTGTTTTTAGAATAATAAAGTTTTAAAAAGTTGGTTGAACCAAACAAGATGTTTAAAGATGTTACTCTAGGCTCTAGGAAATTGTGTTGGGCTTCTTTTATTGTTTTCTCAGATTTTATAAACCAACGTTACACGGGGGAAAAAGCATTAAACTGCCAGTTGACCTATCAGAAAAATATTATTCTCAAAAAACAATGTAGACTAATTGTATTACCTATTGTTGGCTATAAGTAGTCGTATTTTATTTTGTCTTTCTGCCTCATTTTGGAATAGCTGAACTCTTTCTGTTTCCCCAGACTATTCTGGGTATATTACCTTATTACTTTTTTTGTCAACTATTTTTAAGATGTTCAATCGATTGACTTGGAATCACCATAAAACTAAAGTTATCTATCTGCACATCAGGGTTGTAAAAACACAACAGTAGTCTGAACAGTCCAATAGAAGTGTGTGTTGGTTGTCGAAGTGAGTCTTTGTTGTGACCATGGGCGTAGCAGCCATTATATGAGGGTGGGACAAGTCCCCCCCACTTTTTCAAATGATTAGTTTAGACCCCCCCACTTTTACTATGCGGAAAGTCCGTGAATCAGTCTATCCACTCGCCGCACTTTGTAGAGCGCTGTGTCAGTGCTTCACTATCAAATGAAATCCATTCCACTTGCTTATTGAGAGAATGCCCAAATCAATGAAACACCGTACCATGTTTTCACTGCTACTTTGTACCAAGGCAGATTCTCACATAGCGCGCGCATGTTCAAGGAGTGTTGTCATAGTTGGACAGCTCAGATCTGTTGTATGAAGCGATGCCGGTAGCGGAGGTAAGGCACACACACCAAATGTTCAGGAAATGGTTAATACAGCGAAAATCAAAGCTGACGATCTCTTGGTTTGATATGTTTTCTCCCCGAGACAACATGGACATAAGAACATTTTTTTCAAAGAAGAGGAAAGTAAGTCATCAGCTGGTAGCAGTTAATCAGTTAACAGTGATGGCGGCGTCTCACTTCTGGAGAGGAGTTTCGTCTTTATGTCATGATAGAGAGATACAAATACTGAATAGTTTAGATGAGAAAAGGCATCGAAATGCCAGGTTACTAGTATTTATCATGTAAACAGGGAACATGAATAACCCGATCTCTCTGTGCTCATGTAAACACCATATCCCCAATATGATCATAACCGGGATAATACTCATAAACGGCTTACTGATGTCAGACGCAGTCAGTGTGTTTTACTGGAGCCTCAGTTCGATAAGAGATTATTTTCTGAGTTCTTTAACTTAGGTACTCTCTCTCAAAATGGTAATGTGAATTATGTTTTAATTATACTTCTTATCATTCAAAAGCTTTTTGTGTGTGTTTATGTTTTACTG